TTTGTGCATTATGAAGAATTGGTTGCTATACTTGTAGTATAAGAGGGTAGAAAAAGGAAGCAATTATAGCTGAGAGAGGAACTATTCAAAAAGTTTGGAATATATCCAAAATTTTTTTACTAAAAAAGTTCAAAATAATCAGAGAAAAATACTTCCCAAATAAATATTTTGCAGCAAATAATTTTTTACAATGACTAAATGTTATCCTTTTGAAAAACAACAATTGTAGTAATAAAATTCTTTCGAAGCATACATACCTAATTTTTTTTTCATTGTTTGCATCCTTTAACAACATTATCTTCTAAAGGATGACATCACAAATTTAAATTATATGAAAATATCTTAATACGGTATGTTGTTGTTTACCATCAAGTCAGAACCAACACATAGCTGGTTTTCCAGTGAAAGAACTAAAGCCCTTGGGCGGAATATTGCTCATCTTTCTCCCATGAAACAGCCAGTGGATTTGAACTTCCTACCATTGAGCTGGCAGCATAACTTCTTACCATTAGACTATCAGCATTCCCTTAATCCAATAGAGCTTTTTACTTACTGAAATAAAAGCTTGAAATGATTTAAAGTAAATTTATTGACTCAACATTTATAAAAAGTATCTAGAAATAGATGTCTTCATTTCCATTCATGAATAACTGCTAGAAACAGTTTGGTCTTCATCAAATTCCTGTCACAATTAACTTCAACAGCTCTAATAAAATATTTATGCAACTCGTTTTCCAATTACACATTTTTGCCCATAATAATAATAATAATCATGCTTTCAAAAGGAGTCTTGATTTGGGGATCTATTCATGGTTACAAGAATGGATCTGATGTTAAATAATGTAAATCAACCAAATCTAAAATTTAAAAAAAAATTTTATTGTTGTTGTTGTTATGTATTAATTATGGTTACATTATTTCGCTTAAAAACATTATAATGGGCCCTGTTGTTTAACACAAAGAAAACATATACTGCATTGCAACAGATGAGAGAGAGAACTGTTTAAAAGGGATAGATTATTGGGTATTATTGTCGTAACAGGAGTCCAGAACGAAGGCTGCACAGTGCAGTGGACTTGGGGAGAGGGATTGCATAGCAATGAAATAGTTTTTCTTTTATTCATCAAGGGGAAAGCGAATTGGGGAGGAGGGGGTGGGCAGGGAGAAAAGTGCAGCAGTGAATGACCGGAAACCCTAAGTCACTGTAAACTTTCACTAAAATTAATAAAAAAAACAAGAACAAAGAAGACTATATTTTAATGCAATGCTGTTCCAGGCAACGCAGACTGAAATGCTCATGCTACCTTTCCTATACTGAATTTAAAATGAAAATTAAATCGCTTACATCACTCTCCCAGTACTTCTACGACGAATCTGGATTGCAAATGGATTTTTCCTAACTTCAACATCATAAAGTCTGTTTTCGTAAGTACTTGTGGGAGTTGCTGGAACGTTTAAGGGTACTGGAACTTCATATCTCTTCTTCTGGGCGTCATAAATCTATGGCAAGAAAAGAATGAAACTACAAATGACTTTCTCATATAATTGATGTTTTACAAATATTATTAATAATGGTTCAGACAATACTTAAAATCAGTGCCTATAATTCCTGATTCTCAATTCCTGGCTTCGTGCTGGGAAAGGTGAAGGGTCACAGAAAGAGAAAGACGGATTGACATAGTGACTGTAGCAATTGGCTGGGTACATGAGAGATTGTGCTCCAAGTACAGCGAGGTTCAGCTCTGCTGCTTATAGGATTGTAATGAGTCCATCATCTCCATGACACTTTGTAACAACAACATATTCAAACTTCATTTACTTTTTTCTCTTAACTATTTCCTTGTTCTTATTCTTTTTTTTTATTTTAAAAGTGAAACTATGTTATCTTTTCTGTCACATTTTTGCTCCTTTTCCTTTTGTAATTGGTTGAAGTATCTTTTTTGAATTTGATGTTTCTGGTTAGGAAATAAGGATGACAGGAAAAGAACTGATGCCTTTAGCTATAGTGTTGGAGAAGAGCACTAAACATCATATGGATGTCCAAGAGAATGAATAGGTAAGTCTTGGAGAGGGTGCAGCCAGAGTGTTCTATGGAGGCAAGAATGAGGAGGCTTCGCCTCACATATTTTGGACATATTGCTAGGAGGTGCTGGTCCTTGGAGAGGGCCATGATGCTGGGAAGGGTGGAGGGTTGACGAAGGAGAGGAAGACCCTCAACCAGGTGGATTGACGTGGTGACTGCTGCAATGGGCTCTTGTGTATCAGGAAGTGTGAGGATGGCACAGGACATGACTGGGTTCAGATCCTTTGTTCATAGGGTCACTATGAGTCATACTCAACTCGATGGCACCTAACAACAGCAACATTTTAAGGAAAGAGTATATTTATCATTTTACTATGGAATTTATTCCTTTGAATTTGTGTTTTGAAAGTCAAATAAGACATAGATATATAGTTTTTCTAGATTTTCTTTTAATTTCTTTTTTACATTCAACTCAAGCCATATTTCCCTTTAATGTAAAATTTGAAACAATTTTTCCTCATTGTGTAATTAAATAATTCCTTATTCACTTGTGATGCTTACTGTCTTTTGCAATAAAGTTGCATGTGTATATATATTCTTTATACTTCTATATGAATAATAAACTGTTCTAATAATATATAATTCTATCTACTGAATTGCATTTATGCCAATTATTAAACTCTTTTTAAAAAAGTTTTAAGCAATTACACATATTTGTACTTAAAATTATTTCTAAAATTTATATTATGGAACCACTAAACAATTTTCTGGGCTGTGTAGTAAAACGCTTTAAAGGCATGAAGTGAATAAAAAGAAATAAAAAATTAATAGTCTAAGAGTTTCTTTAGGACTGATTTTATTTATCTATGCATAGTTGTGATGCTCAACACTGTGACACTGATGTGGCAAATGCGGTAATGTTTCCCATGGTGGACAGTGTTTGGTGGAGCTCCCCAATGAAAACAAGCTTGGAAGCAGGAGTGGCATCCACTTCTGAAATGGCTTGCCTCTGGAAACTCTATGAACAGTGCTCAGGCCTTTCATCCATAGGGTCGCTATGAGTCGTCTATGACTCAACGGCACTTAACAATAACAACATGCATAATTGTGGAGGGAGAAGGATGAACAATCTTCTTCTGTGTGATTACCGCCTCTGAAAACCCACTGGAGGGTCAGCTATGGGTCATTCCCAACCTGACAGTACACAACTACAACATCAACAATGCCTGCCTGTCAACAGTGTTTTAAGTTATGAAGTCTACTTATTCCTCTGATTTTAAAATTATTGTTGTTGTTGTTTTTTAATTTACTTCGACTAATGGTATTGGTTGTGTTAGCTTCTAATTTGTGAATGATCCTATGAAGGGGAAAAAATGTTTGAGTCATATTAATTTCATGAAGTTATTTTCTTTATATTTTACCTAAATGTATTCTTAATGGATTCCCTTGAAGTTCTTAACTACAATATGCAGTAACTTAAAATGTTAGACAGGCGCACAGACTATATTATCATACCTTGAACTGCAGCATATCGTCTTTGTGATATTTCACCTCCACGCGGAGATTTGAGATAGGCTCAGATGGCATATTTAATCTAGAATTACCATTGAACTGAAGGTCAGCTGTTATACCAGTTGATGAGTATTGGACTGTGCTGACTGAATAAGGGTCGACGTCTCGAGGAAAATAACACTCAGGGGCTCTGGATAAAGAAATCTGAAAAACAACACACGTGCATTGACAGATATACAGATATTCTAATATTTGAGTGAAAAACAAAGACACTAAACAGCGTAAAAGCCAACACTGAATTACCTATGTATGCCATAACTGTTTAATAGTAAAACGGAAGTAAACTGACAACATGCTTATTATACAATACGAGACATCTTTGCTCAAATGTTTGTTATTTTGTCTATAGAACAGTAGGCAAAATAACAAAATACTTTGCTTTACAATTCAAGAAATAAAATTAAATATGAAAGTGTAGTATATAATTAACCATATTTTATTATGTTTTACTTTTCAGACTTTTGTATATAAAATATTTCTGAAGTTTTTGTTTTTATATCTAAAGATGGTTTCATAATAACCCTCAGAGGAACATAGACTTCAAGTCTTTTTAATTTGTCATTGACACTAGCTTTTAATGATGAATCCTTAAATGGGTCAATTCTTTCTTCATTCATTAGATTTTAAAGAGAGCTATTATCAAGTGTTATTTAATTTGTCTACATGTTGTTGTTGTTGTTGTTTTGTGCCATCGATTCGCCTGCGACTCATAGCGACCCTATGTACAACAGCCCTAAACTCCGCTCTGTCCTGTGCCAATCGCACTGTCTCTGACACTCCCAGCCCAATTATCCCAGTCACTGAATCAATCCACCTCATAGAGGGCCTTCCTCTCCTGCACTGTCCCTCCACCCTCCCAAGCATGATGTCCCTCTGTAAGGACCGGTCTCTCCTCACAACATGCCCAAAGTATGTTAGACGGAGCCTCAGAATCCTTGCCTCCAAGGAGCCACCCGGTTTAACCCTTTCCAGGACAAATCTGTTTATTTTCCTAGAGATGGGAATTAAGATTGCCACTTAGAGATGTTAGTGGTTGTATAGTTCACACCTATTGCTTATTTGGGGAGTTCTGGTGGTCTTGTGGGTAAGCAATTGCCCTACCAGTCCTAAGACAGGTGGTTCAAAGACAGTAGTGACTCTACAGGAGAAAGAAAGACATTCTCCTCCTGCGTGACTTACACTGACTGCAGACTTGCTAAAGGGTCTGCTTTGGGTCCGTTCCAACTCAAGGCAATGAGTTGTGTCATTGATGATGGCTTATTATCATAGAAATCATTACGTAGTTTGGAAAAACAGTATGTGCGTGTAAAATATTTCTGAGACTTTTGTAGAAGTTGTACATGACCCCCCAAAATTCTTTATTGGAAATTAGAAATTAAATGATTCAATGAAGATGCTTTTTGTTTGGTTTCCCCCCCACCATTGTTTGTTCTGCATGTCAATTTTATGGCTGATGCCATGATGCAACTTGGAGGGAGAACAAATAGAAAATCTGAGGACATTAATGGACACTAAACACCCAGAATAAATTAAGACTGAGATATTTTTTTTCCTATATAAAAATGATATAAATTAGTTTTGTTTGAACTACTCAAATATTTTTTATTTCATTCTTACAGCTTATAATAATCTTTACATGAAATACTTAGTGAAGCATTAACTCTAAATTTATGAAATGAATCCGATAGAAACAAGAATATTATTAACTTTGGACAATTGTAAAGCATGCCTATGAGTCCCCAAACATATTGTTGACTTAGCGTCAGTTTTCCTTTCTTGGAGAAAAATGGGCAAGCTCCTCCCATAAAATTACTGCCTCCTAAAGCCTGCTGGCAGGTCAGGAGTGGGTCAGGTCCAACTAAGAGTTTATAGCATTATTTTCATCTTTGGAATATATTTTTACTTTAGTACAATTAATCATTAACATTCATCCTTTAGATTTTTTTAATTTTTTTTTTAGTAAGCATGTTCTGACTGAGTGGGTGTTTGACTACTAAATAACGTGTTGAAAGGAGCATAGGGAAGAAAAAGGGAAAGGGCTGTTAGGCTTTCCTTGATTTCAAAATTTGCTGTCCTTCCTTTTTTCCAACTTTTCCTAATCTTTTCAAATGATAGACATTTTTCTGTTCTAATAAAGCAGTGGCATAGAAGCAAATTCTCTAGCAATAGTGTTTCTGATCTCTCTTGGGAATGTATATATTACTGAGAATTTGCTTGCAGTTGTGTCTTGACTCTTCTCCGAAGACAATTCCATGTATTTCATTCATTGGTTCTACTACATAGATGTTATTTCATGACATGACTCAATGATAAAGCTAAAGGCCTATGATTTGAAAACAAGCATAGCAAGGAGGAATTCTGCTTGCATCCTATTCTGTAAGACTGGTTGAAATATTTACCATTAATAGCTATCATTCTTCTATTTAAAGAATGGGTTACTTATAGACTCCTACCACCACTTCTTGGTCCATTATGCAACTTTAGAAATTCTAATACTGTTAGATAATGCATTAAAATGATGATTCCCTAGTAACATATGGCCTCATCAATAGGGTTATATATGCACAAGCAATCACCTGTTATGCATCAGAGAGTTGGACAATGACCAAGGAGGACAGAAGGAGAACTGATGCCTTTGAGCTGTGGTGCTGGAGAAGAGTATTGAGAATACCATGGACTGCTAGGAAAACAAATAGATTTGTCCTGGAGAGGGTTAAACCGGGTGGCTCCTTGGAGGCAAGGATTCTGAGGCTCCGTCTAACTTACTTTGGGCATGTTGTGAGGAGAGACCGGTCCTTGGAGAGGGACATCATGCTTGGGAGGGTGGAGGGACGGTGCAGGAGAGGAAGGCCCTCTATGAGGTGGATTGATTCAGTGACTGGGATAATTGGGATGAGAGTGTCAGAGACAGTGCGATTGGCACAGGACAGAGCGGAGTTTAGGGCTGTTGTACATAGGGTCGCTATGAGTCGCAGGCGACTCGACGGCACATAACAACAACAACAACATGCACAAGTAAATGTCCTAATATTTAAAAAGTACCCTGAAAATATGAGAGGCATAAACTTAGATTTGTATACCAGTGTTCACAGCAGCATTATTCACCATCACAAGGACATGGAAACAGCCCAAATGCCCAACCACAAATTAATGGATTGAGAAATTATGGTACATTCACACAGTGGAATACAGCACACAGGAGCAATAACTTTGCAAATTATTTCTTAACTTGGGAGCGACTGGAGAGCATTATGCTGTGTGAGCTAACTCAGTCCCATAAGGATAAATATTGTGTAAAACCACTAGTGTATAATGAGTATAAGGATTTAGGAGGGGTGGGAAAGTCTGGAAGAAGAGGGATGTGGATGTGTAGGGATATGGGGGGATTAATCATTGGGTTGTACAATTTGATGGGTGGTGGGGTGAGGGAAATTGAAAGAATTTGTTCAAATTTGTATTTGAGTTTTGTAAATAAACTAGTAGGGAAAAAAGTGTGACAAATAAAGCACTATTTTAATAAAACAAAAACACTTCCCAAGATATGACAGGAAAGGAACATCAACACATATTTAGCATAACTTGTTTAAATTGTGTCTTTTGAGTAATAATTGATATAAAAAATTTAATTGAACTTTCTTCAACAGATTATTTATGCTGTCATAAAATGAAAATCATGAGTTGAAATAATTATGTGACAGTCTTACGTGATATTTAAAATTTTTGTTACCTGGTTCCATAAACAGCCGCGATTTCTGCACTTTTGTTCACTTGCCTCATCTGCATCTGGATAACATGTAAACCTTTCATTTTCTGAGAAAAATTGATCCCATACAATCGTAAAGCTTTTTCCAAGGTTAAGCTTCAGATTATCAATTAGGAGAACCTTTGAAAACACAAATGTTATTAAAGTATCTGAATATTGGAAAATTGTCATCAAGTATTTAATGATATAAAACACAGCTACCAACGTGTTTCTCAAGTAAGACAGCTAATACAGTTTACACAGGACTTGAAAAAACTATGCTTAAAGAGAATGTAGAATACACGGAATACTGAAGAAAGCATTACAGGTGCAGCATCTTTCCTTTAAGTGGGGATAATGACTTCTGACAAGACTGCCATGTAAAATGAACAAGGTGTTTAAAACGCACAAACACTGCGGCATAGGCCATCCGGAGTTGCACTCCAACCCCATGGCTGTATCTCTCTGGCAATTTGACCACTGACCGTCTCCTCACTTGTAATTTACAACCTCCCAAACCCACTAAAACATTACCTACGAGTTAGTTCTGAATCCACAGCAGTGAGTGAAATGAGTGATCAGAAATCTTAACGTATACTTTGTTTTAATTATGTCCTGCAGGCATCTACATCAAAGTAAAATTGATCAGTTTGGCTAATCTGAAGGCTCTTAAAAAAACAAAGAAAAGAAATTCCGAGGGGGTAGTCAAAATATTGTATTTCCATTTGTTTCATGGAATAAAAAAGGGCAGTTTCCTCTTGTTGTGATTTATAACCTCAGAAACACCAGAGAGGTTGTATCCAAGTTAAAGTTAGAGGAGGATACTAATATAGATAATATGACATGCGTAAAACAAAAAAGAAATAACAGCAGGACTGGATATATATTCTAATACAAAATTGTAACTGTTACTGAAGTTATGCTTAGTGATACCTATGTTCCCTGGGAATAATATATCAGACGCTGTAGAGAAGCTCTGACTTACAGCAACCCCATGTGTATCAGAATGACTGCTGTCGTTATGTGTTATAAAGGCCAAACTGAATCACAGTGAGTTTTCAGAGACTCTGGGTACCACAGAAGGAAATTGTCCATCTTTTTGTCCCATGTAGCAGTGGTGGGTTTGAATTACATGTCTTTGGGTTAGGAACAACTCCATATCCATTATCAATCCTAAGGTAACACCTTCTGTATAGTTTCTTTCTGATATTTCTCAATTTATTTATAGAAAATTAATATAAACTCAAGCCTAACAAAGCAGAATTATTACATTCTAGCCAGTAGTATTTGTATGTGTTTTACTTTCATTAAAATAAACATAAAACTTAAGAAAGAAAATACAATGGAGCTTGTAAGTATAACCATAAAAAATAGGGTTTGATTGGTTTTCTTACTCATATTTAGGGGAGTCACAAAATTTCCAAAATCTATTTTATTTACTTTATAATGATTTCTTCTTACAGTACTAGGAAATTATAAATTACTGTATGTTTACTAAATAAAAAAAAGTTAAAAACTACAGGTTTTTTATCTGAAATTTGCTATGAAAGGAAGGGTAGAATAGAGGGCTTAATAGTAGGATAATTAAGGATTTAGAAAAATAAATAATATTAATTAAAAACTCTACATCTCAAATACTTTAGAATGTATTGATGCTTATATTACTAACAATTTAGTTTTATTTTAATAGTTAAAAAGAAAATGTCAGTCAATAACATTTTTGTTTTGAATTAGTATTGTTTCAAATTTGAAAATTATTCTTAAAATAACACAGTTAAATACTGTATTTTACAAATGTGAAGTGGAAATTCTGAGAGATCAATTCACTAATTTTAAGTGCACAAACAATAGAACAGGAATAAGAACTTGATCATAAGACTTTCTTTTCCTCCTCCAGCACTCCTCTTAAAAGAGAAAAGAAGACCTTCTATGGAAAATGAATCATGAAAAGAAATGTGTGAAGGCCAAGTAGAGTAAGTCATATTCTGAAGACTATTAGCATTCAAGTAACGGAAAGCATCGAGAATGGTAAAGAAATGAGCCCAAACTGTGTTTTAAAGTCTTAAATGAAAGGGTAAAATATTTGTAATCTATACTGCGTTGAATAAGTATGCATAGAATAGGGGAATAGTATGAACAAAAATATTTGCAAATTATTTCAAAGGTAAAACAGAAAATGAAAAGCTACGAGGGCAGCTTTAAGAGATTTCGTAAGTAAAATAAAATAGAGTGAAAAATAACAAGTAGAGCCCTTAAGATTGTCACATAAATAAGAATATCTTAAGTAATAATATTGCAATATTACAATAAAATTAATGGAATGAAAGAATAGGAATAAACATGAAGAAGAAAAATCATTAAACCAAATACTTGAAGGTTTATACTATATTAAATGTGAGCATATATGTCAGCTAAAATATTTTTAGACTGTTTTATATAGTATTATGTATAATGTTTAACTTACCTGACTGGATGCATCATAGTTGAAACTTGTATGAGAAGTCACTGCTTGATTAACTTCTGCCACCGTAACTTGTGTAACTGAGTTTGACAATCCAAGGACTTTAATAGTCTCAAAAGCCAAGTTTGTTCCCTCTGGGAATGATGAATGAGTGCAGGTAATACTTAAAGTGTTCTGAGGGGGTGAAGGAAACACAACATTACATATAATTCTATGTGTTAAGTAGAAAGTCTTTGAACATGAATCTGAAATAACAATACTTATACCAAAATGGAAGAAAACCAAATAACTGCTTCTCTCATCAACTCTTCCTTTCTCAGTTGTATAAATTAAAAATCCTCATGCTAATTTTTAAAGAAAAATATCTCTTGGTAATTCTTTTAAAGTCTTGGTTTGTGTTTTGTTGGTTTTTTTTTTTTTACTGTTTTATATTTA